TTCAGGCTCTGATCAGCCCTACACCCAAACGAGGGCACTACGTTCATCCACCTCTGGCCTGCTAGCTCCCCTACCTCTACGGAAGCACAGTTCCCACTCAGCCCAGTCAAAGCTATTCGCTGCTCTGGCACCACAATGGTGGAACAAGCTCCCCCACGACGCCAGGACAGCGGAGTCACTGACCACCTTCCGGAGACACTTGAAACCCTACCTCTTTAAGGAATACCTGGAATAGTATAATAGTAATCCTTCTATCCCCCCCCCTTTACTACCACTGTCTTTTGTCTAAACTAACACCTGACTTATTTCACCTGCTAGCACTGACTTGTTTAAAGAAATGTACTTATTGTGATCGAGATGTAGTTGTCCCTGATTACACTGACTTTGCTCACAGCTGCTTGTTTGAAGAAGTGTACTTACTGTGATCAAGATGTGGTTGTCCCACTGGCTATCCTAAGTTGAATGGACCAATTTGTAAGTCGCTCTGGATAAGAGTGTCTGCTAAATGACTTAAATGTAAATGTGCTGGGGACAATAAAAGGCCACTCTAAAATGTGCAGTTGTCACACAACACAATGTCTCAAGTTTTGAGGGAGCGTGCAATCGGCATGCTGACCGCAGGAATGTCCACCAGAGCTATTGCCAGGGAATTGAAATGTTCATTTCTCTACCATAAGCCGCCTCCAACATCATTTTAGAGAATTTGGCAGTACGTCCAACTGGCCTCACAACCACAGACCACGTGTAACCACGCCAGCACCTCCACATCCGGCTTCTTCACCTGCAGAATAATCTGAGGGGTGGGTGCTGAGGGGTATTTTCGTCTGTAATAAAGCCTTGTGTGGAAAAACTCATTCTGATTGGCTGGGCCTGGCTCCCAAGTGGGTGGGCCTACGCACTTGCCCAGTCATGTGAAAACAATAGATTACAGCTTAATTTATTTATTTCAATTGACTGATTTCCTTATATGAACTGTAACTCAGTAAAATCTTTGAAACTGTTGCATGTTGGGTTTATATTTTTGTTCAGTATATATTTTTTACATTTAGTTGAAAATCCTAGCCTTACTTTGTAATTGTTGGGGAAAATACATATTTTTTTGCTGTAATTTGGCAAAGCCGTTTGTGTCAGTGTTGTAATGTTGGCAAAAAATACTAGCTTTCTGAAACTGTACTTGTAGGATCAGAGATGGTGGAATCAATAGCCACTCAAAATGTCAACAAACAAAGAGGACAAAGAAATAAGGGTAAAAGATTAATCTTTATTTCCTTTAACCAAAACATTGTAGGCCTACTACAGCGGCATATTCATTAAAAAAAAAAAAATTGTAAACATGTACTAGGATCATGAAAATGTACAGTGTTTCTGTTCACATGTTTTCAACCTGCCACCTGGTTGCTTCACAGGTTGAGAGAGGGGACATACTGACCAAACGTTCATGACAGGTACAAGGCATGATGACAATCCCCAAAAGCATAACAAAAGCCTCTCAATGAGAGCTGATTCTAGGAGCAAAAAAGGGATCTCGTTTTTGGGGATCTTCTTTCAAGATCCCATTGCCTAGACTGGCCAAACCGAGAAATTGTTGTTTTTCTGGAACAGAACACAAAACCTATGCCAGCAAGGCAATTCCCATCTTGTATCGTACTAGGCTGCGAATCCACTTTTATTTTTTTAATCAAACATCTTTAAAGTAACATAACAATTAAAATAGGTGACTTTGCTTAGCACACTTTACGAGGGAGTTTCTCAACCTTTGTGTGTAAGTAAGCAACGTCAGTCAGTAGGGTTCTCCTAACTTGCTGACCACACTGCCTGCGTTGCGTGCCCATAGTAAAATAAATGTACACATTCGTTATTCAATAAGTCAACGAAACAGGCTCTAAAATAGAACTTGGTTCTATTTTTGATGCGTGACGCGCTGCAAGTCCCACCTCTCCCATCGGTTTTCAGGAGCATATACCCACGTGGGTGATTGAAAGATGATCTGAGGTCCACACTCCAGTCCGGTTGGTGGTGGTAATGCACCTTAAAGTTGGTTGCCAACCGCCATAAAGTCCACAGAAGAAGAACACTGAAGGAGGAGAGTTTACTAGAAACCAACTAGGTTTCCACTTTTATCTGTGGATTAATGGTCAGAGTTGACTCTAAAAATGGGTTGAAATTCTACAAAGATCCAGAAAAATAGGACCTAGTGCATTTCTGATAAAATAACAACCCAATGTTTTGTTCCCAGGACAAATTAGCTAGCAACAGCAAGCTAGCTAACTAAATGTCCACGTTTTCATGTGTTTCGACCTCTCCCTAAATTAATATAGTTGGTTCAGAGTTCGTTTTGATACTTCAACCTGCGTTTCCAGATCGCGTCTGATGTGGATGGACAAAATCAACATGCGCACGCACGCGCCCGGTCTAGTCAACATGCAAGGCACCACTTCTGTGAGGGACTGACTAGCTTTTGTCCATCTGCTACACAGTTCCTCTACTAGTTTGTAGAGGAACATGCACTTATGCCCTGAACCAGAGTTAGAAACTGCTGAAGTATCAAATGCTGACTTGGAGTTGAAACCGGATGCATCGTAAAAAGGGGCCAAAGCAATGCTAGAAAACCACATGGAGAAAAATAGATATTAAGAGAAGGTCAAAACTTTACATACATTTGAAGTTGTAACTTTACATACACCTTAGCCAAATACATTTAAACTCTGTTTTTCACAATTCTTGACATTTAATCCTAGTAAAAATTCCCTGTTTTAGGTCAGTTAGGATCACCACTATATAATAATAGTAGAGAGAATGATTTATATCAGCTTTTATTTCTTTCATCACATTCCCAGTGGGTCAGAAGTTTACATACACTCAATTAGTATTTTTGGTAGCATTGCCTTGAAATTGCTTAACTTCGGTCAAACGTTTCGGGTAGCCTTCCACAAGCTTCCCTCAATCATTTGGGTGAATTTTGGCCCATTCCTCCTGACAGAGCTGGTGTAACGGAGTCAGGTTTGTAGGCCTCCTTGCTCGCACACGCTTTTTCAGTCCTGCCCACACATTTTCTATAGGATTGATGTCAGGGCTTTGTGATGGCCACTCCAATACCTTGACTTTGTTGTCCTTAAGCCATTTTGCCACAACTTTGGAAGTATGCTTGGGGTCATTGTCCATTTGGAAGATCCATTTGCAACCAAGCTTTAACTTCCTGACTGATGTCTTGAGATGTTGCTTCAATATATCCACAATTTTCCTTCCTCATGATGCCATCTATTTTGTGAAGTGCACCAGTCCCTCCTGCAGCAAAGCACCCCCACAGCATGATGCTGCCACCCCCGTGCTGTACGGTTGGGATGGTGCTCTTCGGCTTGCAAGCCTTCCCCTTTTCTTCCCCTTTCAGTTCTATTTTTGTTTCATCAGACCAAAAAGTACAATCTTTGTCCCCATGTGCAGTTGCAAACCGTAGTCTGGCTTTTTTATAGCGGTTTTGGAGCAGTGGCTTCTTCCTTACTGAGCAGCCTTTCAGGTAATGTCGATATAGGACTCGTTTTACTGTGAATGTAAAAACATTTGTACGTGTTTCCTCCAGCATCTTCACAAGGTCCTTTGCTGTTGTTCTGGGATTGATTTGCACTTTTCACACCAAAGTACGTTCATCTCTAGGAGACAGAACGCGTCTCCTTCCTGAGCGGTATGACGGCTGCGTGGTCCCATCGTGTTTATGCTTGCGTACTATTGTTTGTACAGATGAACGTGGTACCTTCAGGCGTTTGGAAATTGCTCCCAAGGATTAACCAGACGTGTGGAGGTCTACAATTTTTTTCCTGAGGTCTTGGCTGATTTCTTTAGATTTTCCCATGATGTCAAGCAAAGAGGCACTGAGTTTTAAGGTAGGCCTTGAAATACATCCACAGGTACAACTCCAATTGACTCAAATGATGTCAATTAGCCTATCAGAAGCTTCTAAAGCCATGACATCATTTTCTAGAATTTTCCAAGCTCTTTAAAAAAGGCACAGTCAACTTAGTGTATGTAAACTTCTGACCCACTGGAATTGGGATACAGTGAATTATAACTTAAATAACCTGTCTGTAAACAATTGTTGGAAAAAATGACTTGTGTCATGCACAAAGTAGATGTCCTAACAGACTTGCCAAAACTATAGTTTGTTAACAAGAAATTTGTGGAGTGGTTGAAAAACGAGTTTTAATTTTGCCAACCTAAGTGTATGTAAACTTCCGACTTCAACTGTACATTGATTTTGGACTTTTTTGATGCAGAAATAACAGACAGAAGAATCGTCCCAAATGGAATACCACCAACACTGTCATTGAGATGGATACAGTTTGAATATACAATAAATAAATATATTTAAGGGAAACTGAACAAAATCAAATCTCAAATCAGGAGCACAAAATAACACTTAAAACATTCCAGTAAAATGTACAACGCATTGATGAGCAAAATGGAGACTAACATGAACCTGCAGTTTGAGCCTGCAGTCTGCAGGAAAATCCAACAAAAGAAAACCAGGCCTCATTCTACATGGGACTGAAGTAGTTCCTAGGTGCTGCCCTAAGGTCAGTTTCTGCTTTACCTCCCAATGATTACCATGCCAGCTGTGTGTTTCGGGGTGACCTCTATGTGGCGTGAATTAAAAACCCATGCGACCTAATCCTAAAACTAACAATTGAGTTGCACTCCCATGAGTTCATTTACAAAGCTCTATTTGCTCCAGGTACAGCAAACATTTTCCATTCAAGCAATGACATTTATATTTTGGCAACACAGTACTCCTATTTCACGTCTTCAAAACATGCTTTGCGACAAACCCTCGCAAGAGAATCAAGCCAATTTCCTGATTCAAGTTTTTCAACAAAACCCTTGTCAATGAATCTTTAACCTATATAATTTGTTACGTTCTTAGTCACTAAACCTACCAAAAGTCGCCTTGTCAGTTTGAATTTGAAGAAGAGGATATTGTCAAATGTGGTGAAATAGCCAAATAGATTTTAGGAAGATGCCAAGCATGGTGAGCACCATCTCTCTTGCTCAGATAACATGGAGTGTCTTTTTAGCATATGAAAGCAACATTTTGCAAAAAACATTGGGATTATAAAAATCAGGTGGTGGGGGTGCACCCGACTTAACATTATCCACCACAGGGCTGCAGCATTCGCAATGGCATTCTTCATTTCTAGCCAAACTGGAAAAATAAATTTCCAGGTGCTTGGTCTAGAGGGTAAAAAAAAAAAAAAATGTTACTTTGCTGTGTTGAAATCCATGACAAACTGTAAGTGCATTTGCAAAATCTTCAGATCCCTTGACTTTTTCCACATTTTGTTACGTTACAGCCTTATTCTAAAATTGAGTTTTTTAAAAATTCCCCCTCCTCAATCTACACACAATACCCCATAATGACAAAGCGAAAACATTTTTTTATTTTTTACAACTGATATACCTTATTTACATAAGTATTCAGATCCTTTGCTATGAGACTCGAAATTGAGCTCAGGTGCATCCTGTTTCCAATGATCATCCTTGAGATGTTTCTACAACTTGATTGGAGTCCAATTGTGGTAAATTCAATTAATTGGACATGATTTGCAAAGGCATACACCTGTCTATATAAAGTCCCACAGTTGACATTTACATTTAAGTCATTTAGCAGACGCTCTTATCCAGAGCCACTTACAGTTAGTGAATGCATACATTTTTTCATACTGGTCCCCCGTGGGAATCGAACCCACAACCCTGGCGTTGCAAGCGCCATGCTCTACCAACTGAGCTACACGGGACTACATAACACGTCAGAGCAAAAACCAAGCCATGAGGTCGAAGGAATTGTCCGTAGACCTCCGAGACAGGATTGTGTTGAGGCAGAGATCTGGGGAAGGGTACCAAAAAATGTCTGCAGCATTGAAGGTCCCCAAGAACATAGTGGCCTTCATCATTCTTAAATGGAAGAAGTTTGGAACCACCAAGACTCTTCCTAGAGCTGGCCGCCTGGCCAAACTGAGCAAGAACCCGATGGTCACTGACAGAGCTCCAGAGTTCCTATGTGGAGATGGGAGAACCTTCCAGAAGGACAACCATCTCTGCAGCACTCCACCAATCAGGCCTTTATGGTAGTGGCCAGACAGAAGCCACTCCTCAGTAAAAGGCACATGACAGCCCACTTGAAGTTTGCCAAAAAGGCACCTAAAGGACTCTCAGACCATGAGAAACAAGATTCTCTGGTCTGATGAAACCAAGATTGAACTCTTTGGCCTGATTGCCAAGCATCATGTCTGGAGGAAACTTGGCACCATCCCTACGGTGAAGCATGGTGGTGGCAGCATCATGCTGTGGGGATGTTTTTCAGTGGCAGGGACTGGGAGACTAGTCAGGATCGAGGGAAAGATGAACGGAGCAAAGTTCAGACAGATCCTTGATGAAAACCTGCAGCAGAGCGCTTAGGACCTCAGACTGGGGCGAAGGTTCACCTTCCAACAGGACAACGACCCTAAGCACACAGCCAAGACAACGCAGGAGTGGTTTCGGGACAAGTCTCTGTTATGTCCTTGAGTGGCCCAGCCAGAGACCGGACTTGAACCCGATCTAACATCTCTGGAGAGACCTGAAAATAACTGTTCAGCAACGCTCCCCATCCAACCTGACAGAGCTTGAGAGGATCTGCAGAGAAGAATGGGAGAAACTCCCCATATACAAGTGTGCCAAGCTCGTAGCGTCATACCCAAGAAGACTCAAGGCTGTAATCGCTGCAATCGCTGCTAAAGGTGCTTCATCAAAGTACTGAGTAAAGGGTCTGAATACTTATGTAAATGTAATATAAAAACATGTTTTATACATTTGTCAAAAAACCTGTTTTTGCTTCGTCACTATAGGGTATTGTGTGTAGATTGATGAGGAAAAAATACAATTTAATCCATTTTAGAATAAGGCTGTAATGTAACAAAATGTGGAAAAGGTCAAGGGGTCTGAATACTTTCCGAAAGCACTATGTGCACAAATAAAAAGGTAAAAGAGTGTCATTGTCACAGCAGTGTCACTACATACTTTGATTGGATTCAAAACTGAATCCTCCTGCTGGGCCTCCGAAGAAGGTCTTGAAGATGTTGTTGGCATTGAAATCTGCAGAGAAACAACAGCAATGAGTCAAATAGCGTCAACGTGCGATATTAATTCCACACCCAATTCAGTTACATCAACACATCAAAATAAACCTTTATTGGTGTTTCAAAGACTGCACTGGGAATAGACGTTTAAAAATGGCTATTCCATTTCTCGCACAGTTCGATCATAATTACATTTAGATTGACTCAGAGTGAGGATGCCGACGCTGATCTATGGCCAGTATTGCATTATTCCCCTTAGTGGTTATGGTTAGGACCAAGGGTAAGGTAATCTGATCCTAGAAGTGGTTAGGGGAAGTGTTCGGGTAGTGTTTAATGTGAGGTTTGAGGGGGATGTAACCTCGTCCCCAGGCTCAATTGCTACCGCATATAGAGCCAGAAACACTGTACAACAAAGTGGGACTTGAAAGGGGCGTGGGTTAAGATCAACGCGGGAGAGAAAGAGAGCCTGCTACAGCTGTATTAGATAGGATTTTTTTAAATGCAGAAAATCACCAATAAAAATACATTTTGTATCACAGCAACAATATTATATTTAGGAAGCCCAATTGATTCTGAGTTTGGGCATATAACGTTTATATGTGAAAACTAGTTCTAAGGTGCATACTTTCCGAACTCACTTCCTTATTTAGCCTAAATCAATTGCCCTGCTCGCGCTTTGAAACCAACAATGTAGAGGGGAGGTTCTAAGGGTTATGCTAGATGTTGATGGACAGAGATCAGCCAATAAAAATCCAGCGGCAGGTTTTCCCACTCCTGCCATAGGCTCCATTCAAGTCCCTTTCTGAAATGCTGTGAAACCAGACGGGTCGAAAGAGAAAGAGCCGGTTAGTGGACGAGGTTAAGGGGGATGATATCTGATCCTAGACCTGTCGTTAGGGGTAGTGAAATGGTTAGGACTAGGATTTTGGGTAAGGTAATATTATCCTAAATCAGTGGTTATGGGTGGTGTTGGGGTAGTGTTTAAGGTTAGGATAATGCAATCTGATCCTAGATCGGTGGTTACTGACCTCCCATATTATTGCTGTCGTCCTCCAGGTCGTGGCCGCAGTCGTAGCGAGTCTTCTTCTTGGGGTCAGAGAGCACGGTGAAGGCCTCGCCCACCTCTTTAAACTTCTTCTCCTCCTCCTTCTGTACCTCTGGCGTGGCCGCACTGTGACGATCTGACCGGCAAACAGAAAACATCTGTTAGAAAATTAGAAGTCTTTACTTGACCGTTGCGTTGCAGCTGGTATTTCTCAACGACACAAAAATGGAAATGGGAAAGGCTTCTCTCTGATCCCATATACCATCTCCTGCCGTTGTGCCCTTGAGCAAGGCACAATTGCTCTCCATCCAGGGGTGCTGCACTGCGGCTGACCCTGCGCCTCTCAATGTGCAAGTCTATATCTGGGGTTGTTGGGAAAGGCAGAAGACACATATCCATTCTAACCAATGGACAATAAAGTATCTATTCTATAGTGTTGGTTTTCTTTTACAAATGTGGACTTTGATTGAGCCTGCCTGGAGCAATGGAAATAATATAAATATTATTTGAACCCAGGTCGGAAGTCTTACTCCTCAATGGTGTTGCCTGTGTGTGTGTGTGTGTGTGTGTGTGTGTGTGTGTGTCTGTGTACCTGGGTGGTGCATGAGGGCCCGTTTCCGATAGGCCTTCTTAATCTCATCTTCTGTGGCATTCTTTCCCACCCCCAGCACCTTGTAGTAATCTTTCCGTTTGCTCTTCTTCAGTTCCAACTGAGCTGTCTTCAAGAGATGCTTGTGTTCTATACAGAGGGAAAGAGAGAAGAGAGTGAACAAAAGTGAGAAAATTCTCCCTAATGAACAAATGCAGTAACGTATCAACCATCACCATCAAGAACAGAGTGAAAAAGTTGACAGGAAAGAAAACGAATACTGTTCAATCTCTGCCATTATTTTTTCACTGGTGACTATGAAGTAAAGTCTGGTTGCAATACCAACTTACCTTTTGTCTTCTCTGTCTGATAGACCTTTTCATAGTCCCGTACAGCTTCTTCATACTGTTCGATGTCCATATAACTGCAGAAAACACACGCAGAGTCAAGTGTCTCACTGTCTCAGAGTCAAGAGGCAATGAGTCTCAGTGCATCGCTTACAGTGGGCTCAAACTTGGAAGCGATATTCAGCAACGTAGCTACCAGCGACCAGTCATTTTCAATGGAAGGGGGAAACAAGAGGACACACACAACGACTTAACGGTCAGCGACAAGAGAGCTAGCGACCAGAATTGAAAATGTCACAATATTGCGCAAATTTCAGCAACGCGACAACGCCACAGCCAATCAGGAGAGGGTAGCTCTAGCTAGCAAGCTTTGGCTAACAACAAAACTGCCCTCATGTAAGCTGTTTGAATGAAACACCCACCATTGGAGATCTCAACGACGTGATTGCTGATTATTGCTCCAAGTCTGAGACTCCTGTTATTAGTACTTTTTCATAGCTTACCACTGGGCTCGTCTCAAATAGGCCTTGATATACGTGTCGTCCAACTTTATTGCACTTGTGCAATCTTCGATGGCTTGATCAGGTTTCTTCAGCTGAAGGAGAGGAAGGAAAGATGCAAAATGAACAGATGGCATGCGTTTCAAACTATTAGGAACTCAACTTCCAGAATCTAGCTTGGATTACTAACATACGTAAAGTATTATCAAATGTACTTTTAACTAACCTCAAGATGGGCCAGATGGGCCTTTTACAATGAGAACTGATGAGACACATTGGGCAGAACAAGCAAGGAGGAAGGCTGAGCCAAGCAGGAGCTAGTGAGATCCTATTGGCAGATTTTAGCATGTATTTGCATATTTCCGTTAGGGAAGGTCTACTCTCTGAAGTACGTGTGAGCAAGAACTTGAATTCGCCTTTGCACTCCTAAACAATGCAATTTTTTACAACTTGGCAAAGGTTCAATTCTACAAAATGTGCGCTCTGTTCGTGTGACGAAGCGGACTCAGCCGCTCTCGTCATGAACGCAGATTATTTAATTCCCCTTATAAATGGTTTGGCGCATTCATGTTTTTCCCATATATCCAGTAATTACATTTAGGATAAATGTATATAATTGTTGTTCTTTAACTCTAATCATGTGTTGAGGAAATGTTTGGTCAAGTTGCATAATGGCGCATTTCAGTTTCAGTAATTTATCCTTTTGCTATCCTCCAAGTGGATGCGATGTTTAGGTGCACATGAACGCTCGCAACACTGAAGAGAAAGAAGTTTGTTTATTTCCATATATTAAAATGTTTCCTATGTTGGTAATTTGTCTGCCTCAGAGCTCCGTGTCGGTCATTGTTGGCATGTCCATGCGTAGTGGGAGCGTGCGCAGGTCCATAAGTAATACGTTTTGCTGCCTGTTGGCCTACAGAAGCAGTATTATAAAATGTATATTTGTTAATTTAAAGTATTCCCGCTTAGAGATTAAGCCAGGAATGTACTACTACTACTACTTCTTCTTTATTATCTATACATATTCACTTTAACTATACCTACATGTACAGTGAGGGAAAAAAGTGTTCGTTCCCCTGCTGATTTTGTACGTTTGCCCACTGACAAAGAAATGATCAGTCTATAATTTTAATGGTAGGTTTATTTGAACCGTGAGAGACAGAATAACAAAAAAATCCAGAAAAACGCATGTCAAAAATGTTATAAATTGATTTACATTTTAATGAGGGAAATCAGTATTTGACCCCCTCTTAATCAGAAAGATTTCTGGCTCCCAGGTGTCTTTTATACAGGTAACGAGCTGAGATTAGGAGCACACTCTTAAAGGGAGTGCTCCTAATCTCAGCTTGTTACCTGTATAAAAGACACCTGTCCACAGAAGCAATCAATCAATCAGATTCCAAACTCTCCACCATGGCCAAGACCAAAGAGCGCTCCAAGGTTGTCAGGGACAAGATTGTAGACCTACACAAGGCTGGAATGGGCTAAAAGACCATCGCCAAGCAGCTTGGTGAGAAGGTGAAAACAGTTGGTGCGATTATTCGCAAATGGAAGAAACACAAAATAACTGTCAATCTCCCTCGGCCTGGGGCTCCATGCAAGATCTCACCTCGTGGAGTTGCAATGATAATGAGAACGGTGAGGAATCAGCCCAGAACTACACAGGAGGATCTTGTCAATGATCTCATGGCAGCTGGGACCATAGTCACCAAGAAAACAATTGGTAACACACTACGCCGTGAAGGACTGAAATCCTGCAGCGCCTGCAAGGTCCACCTGCTCAAGAAAGCACATATACAGGCCCGTCTGAAGTTTGCCAATGAACATCTGAATGATTCAGAGGACAACTGGGTGAAAGTGTTGTGGTCAGATGAGACCAAAATCGAGCTCTTTGGCATCAACTCAACTCGCCATGTTTGGAGGAGGAGGAATGCTGCCTATGACCCCATGAACACCATCCCCACCGTCAAATATGGAGGTGGAAACATTATGCTTTGGGGTGTTTTTCTGCTAAGGGGACAGGACACCTTCACCGCATCAAAGGGATGATGGACGAGGCCATGTACCGTCAAATCTTGGGTGAGAACCTCCTTCCCTCAGCCAGGGCATTGAAAATGGGTCGTGGATGGGTATTCCAGCATGACAATGACCCAAAACACACGGCCAAGGCAACAAAGGAGTGGCTCAAGAAGAAGCACATTAAGGTCCTGGAGTGGCCTAGCCAGACTCCAGACCTTAATCCCATAGAAAATCTGTGGAGGGAGCTGAAGGTTCGAGTTGCCAAACGTCAGCCTTGAAACCTTAATGACTTGGAGAAGATCTGCAAAGAGGAGTGGCAACTACAACAAACGTCTGACCTCTGTGATTACCAACAAGGGTTTTGCCACCAAGTACTAAGTCATGTTTTGCAGAGGGGTCAAATACTTATTTCCCTCATTAAAATGCTAATCAATTTATAACATTTTTGACATGCGTTTTTCTGGATGTTTTTGTTGTTATTCTGTCTCTCACTGTTCAAATAAACCTACCATTAAAATTATAGACTGATCATGTCTTTGTCAGTGGGTAAACGTACAAAATCAGCAGGGGATCAAATACTTTTTTCCCTCACTGTACATACTACCTCAATTACCTTGACTAACCGGTGCCCCAGCACATTGACTCTGTACCGGTACCCCCTGTATATAGCCTCGCTACTGTTATTTTACTGCTTTTATTTTTTGCTTATCTATTGTTTACTTAACTTATTTTTTCTGCATTGTTGGTTAAGGGCTTGTAAGTAAGCATTTCACTGTAAGGTCTACACCTGTTGTATTCGGCGCATGTGACAAATACAATTTGATTAGATTTGACCAACGCGAGGTAGGCGGCATGTTCCTGATCTTGCACATCTGCACCTTCAGCATTCAAATGTTAAAATGGCTTGCATTATATTAGGCTTTATTAGTCGAGTGACAACCTAAACTCAGCAAAAAAAGAAACGTCCTCTTACTGTCAACTGCGTTTATTTTCAGCAAACCTAACATGTGTAAATATTTGTATGAACATAACAAGATTCAACAACTGAGACAAACCGAACAAGTTCCACAGACATATGACTAACAGAAATTGAATAATGTGTCCCTGAACAAAGGGGGGGGGGGGGGTCAAAACAAAAAATAAGTCAGTATCTGGTGTGACCACCAGCTGCATTAAGTACTGCAGTGCATCTCCTCCTCATGGACTGCACCAGATTTGCCAGTTCTTGCTGTGAGATGTTACCCCACTCTTCCACCAAGGCACCTGCAAGTTCCCGGACATTTCTGGGGAGGCAATGGCCCTAGCCCTCACCCGCCGATCCAACAGGTCCCAGACGTGCTCAATGGGATTGAGATCCGGGCTCTTCGCTGGCCATGTCAGAACACTGACATTCCTGTCTTGCAGGAAATCACGCAAAGAACGAGCAGTATGGCTGGTGGCATTGTCATGCTGGAGGGTCATGTCAGGATGAGCCTGCAGGAAGAGTACCACATGAGGGAGGAGGATGTCTTCCCTGTAACTCACAGCGTTGAGATTGCCTGCAATGACAAGCTCAGTCCAATGATGCTGTGACACACCGCCCCAGACCATGACGGACCCTCCACCTCCAAATCGATCCTGCGGCAGAGTACAGGCCTCGGTGTAACACTCATTCCTTCGACGATATACGCGAATCCGACCATCACCCCTGGTGAGACAAAACCGTGACACGTCAGTGAAGAGCACTTTTTGCCAGTCCTGTCTGGTCCAGCGACGGTGGGTTTGTGCCCATAGGCGACGTTGTTGCCAGTGATGTCTGGTGAGGACCTGCCTTACACCAGGCCTACAAGCCTGCAGTCCAGCCTCTCTCAGCCTATTGCGGACAGTCTGAACACTGATGGAGGGATCCTGGTGTAACTCGGGCAGTTGTTGCCATCCTGTACCTGTCCCGCAGGTGTGATATTCAGATGTACCGATCCTGTGCAGGTGTTGTTACACGTGGTCTGCCACTGCGAGGACAATCAGCTGTCCGTCCTGTCTCCCTGTAGCGCTGTCTTAGGCGTCTCACAGTACGGACATTGCAATTTATTGCCCTGGCCACATCTGCAGTCCTCATGCCTCCTTGCAGCATGCTTAAGGCACGTTCACGCAGATGAGCAGGGAACCAGGGCATCTTTCTTTTGGTGTTTTTCAGAGTCAGTAGAAAGGCCTCTTTAGTGTCCTATGTTTTCATAACTGTGACCTTAATTGCCTACCGTCTGTAAGCTGTTAGTGTCTTAACGACCGTTCCAAAGGTGCATGTTCATTAATTGTTTATGGTTCATTGAACAAGCATGGGAAACAGTGTTTAAACCCTTTACAATGAAGATCTGTGAAGTTATTTGGATTTTTACAAATTATCTTTGAAAGACAGGGTCCTGAAAAAGGGGCCCCTGCCTTTTTTTGCTGAGTTTATATAATTTGCTAGGTTATTATCATCTATGCTCTGTTTAAAAGGGTGTTTTATCTTAATAAAAGTAAGCTACTGGAGACAACTCATCTGGCTATACCTACAGAATTGGGCTTACAATATATTCTATTTTGATTGTTCAGGTTCACCATCAGCAATATTTTTGGTAGCTTTGCTTTAAACAAATCAGTGTATATCAGGGCTATTTCAACTATATTCTTACTGGATCCAGATATTTAAAAAATATAATTTAGATGGGGGCCAGACATTTTCTACATGGGATTACTCTTCCTGAGACCGGTATAAAAAACAAATGCACAAACATAATTATCTTATAAATAACTTTTATTAAAATTAAATGTTGCTAAAAGTTCATTTTTAGTGCTTTAAGATTAGCCTAATTCAGTGCATCAAATTGTTTAAATAATGGAACACAGTTGACCTGCATCACATTAATACATTTCTACTTTCCTGTCCATTTTACATACATAGCTTCATCTTTTGTTTTTATTTACACATAGGAAACCTTTTATGCATGGCATATCTCAGATGACCAGCATCACATTCTGTTCTATTTCTTTATTTTCTGTCTTCTTTTGTTCATTTTTTTTTACACATAGGAAACAAACATTTTATGCATGGCATATCTCAGTTGACTCGTTTTTGTGGAGAAGTCTCTCTCCCCCGCATAAGTAGAGAACAGGTCTCTATAACAAACTGCACCACCTCTGTGGGGACTTAAACTCATCAAATCTCGTTGCAAAGTTAGCTTTCAGTTTATCTTAAAAGCCTGACATCACGGGAGTGATCTGTACTGATGACTGAATATAGTTGCGCAGTGTAGGAAAATGGAGCGTTTTGTTTGGAGAAAATAACGGTATTTTGAAAAGAAGTCAGTTTTTTCAATTATGTCAATAACTGTTTTATCCCTCCCATGCAGTCCCAAATTAAGTCCATTCAATTCCTTGAGGATGTTAGTAAAAAACAAACATCTGATACGAACTAATCATTAAGCAGTTTCGCTTTCTTGTAACGGCAAATCGCAGAGAAAAGCAACTTTCTCCTCCCTAAGCTCACATAGGCTGCTCTCGAGAGCATCACCACCTTTGCTTAGCCACTGAACATCATTATGTAAAAGTAGATCATGATCAGGGATGCAAACTGGTGAGGGCAAAAACGTTTTTGTTTTTTTCTTTTTGCCAGGAAACACGTGAAAAAAATAAGTGTAAATTGCAAGAAAATGTACTAACATTTTACTAACGATGTGATACCAGGCCAAGTATCACGATATTTTAGAGGCCCTCTTGACCGCAGAGACAAAAGGTTGTGATTTTAAAGTTAATTTTCATGCAATTCTACACATTTTGCCATGGCTTATGCCGTGTTCTTATGCTATCCGAGTGACTCATAACTAAATCAATGGGGGCCCCATGCCATGACATATTTTGGAATTTTAGAATCTCCCGACTGTCTAGTTTTTATTTTGGTGATTGTTGGTTCTCAAAGAACAACTTCTTTAAAAACATGTAAGACAAATCATTTTACCATCATATTTATTTGGAGTGGCGGCAACTACCACACGTGAAATTGGATGAAGCACTCATCTCTCAATGGGTGATACACTGCGTCTGTCCACTTTGTCAGACCCCCCCACACACACGTTCTTTTTTTTTTACAGATCTACACAATTCACGTGGATTGCATCCTTGAAGATGCTCAGCAGACTACGAAACAAGCGATGCTGCAGGCTAGATGTTGATCAGATAATGGAAAATGTATGCACTCACTAACTAAGTCGCTCTGGATAAGAGCGTCTGCTAAATGACTAAAATGTAAATGTAAATAAAGTTTATGATAGTCCATAACTGAGTCCTGGGCTGGCGTGGTTCCAGGTGGTCTGCGGTTGTGAGGCCGGTTGGACGTACTGCCAAATTCTCTAAAATGATGTTGGAGGAGGCTTATGGTAGAGAAATGAACATTCAATTCTCTGGCAACAGCTCCGGAGGACATTCCTGCAGTCAGCATGCCAATTGCACGGTCCCTCAAAACTTGACATCTATGGCATTTTGTTGTGTGACAAAACTGTACATTTTAGAGTGGCCTTTTATTGTACCCAGTACAAGGTGCACCTGTGTAATGATCATGCTGTTTAATCAGCTTCTTGATATACCACACCAGTCAGGTGGATGGATTATCTTGGCAAAGGATACATGCTCACTAACAGGGATGCCGACAAATTTGTGCACATTTGAGAGAAATAAGCTTTTTGTGCGTCTGGAAAATGTCTTGAATCTTTTATTGCAGCTCAGGAAACATGGGACCAACACTTTACATGTTGCACTTATATTTTTGTTCAGTATAATTTGTAAACGATAAATATTGATACATTACTAGCTCAAACACAATCTGCAGAAATGTGTGGGTGATGGTGTTTCCAGAACCAAAGTGGGGGGACAAAAAACAACAGGCTACATTGCCTGCTTAAATGCCCCCCTTTATTTATCCTACGGTTCTGACTTGGTGTACATGGGAGAATACTGTAAGGATGGGCCAAGTTCTGAATTATTTTGCTGTACATTTCAAAAGTGCTGAACAAATAGTTATATTGACTACGTTCGTCCTAGCTCGCTCATTACCGTCTTAATCAAAATTACGGATTGACTCATCCTCTCGTCGTCCCGTTAGGCCATAGTTTGTACATCTCAATTGTCCGTAGAAAACACATTTGTTTAAAGCAGGTCAGCCATATCAGCTATGTTTTTTAAAAAGGCAGTAAATGATGCTGAATTAACTGTTTCGCTGCCAGACAAGGCTCCCTGATAGCCAGGTGTAGCAGTGGTTAGAATTCACGCCATGGTGCTGAAAAGAAAGCTCTGCTGTTGGGACAGCTTTATGTAGGCCCTAACAGTTTGAGGGCACCGTTTGTCACCGTTATAGTGCAATTCATGTATTGTTAAGTTGTGTGTTGTGTAGTGGCTTTGCTGGCAAGCATCTAAAAAAATTGTTTGAGTTTGCCCCACCAAAATGTACATGCTAAAATCGCCAGACACACACACGACAGAAGTCAGCTCAGACAGATCCAGCTTAGAAAGGCCCAGGTCATGAGCTCCATCAGCAGCAGATTTTAATTTAGAATGGAAAATGAATATGTTTAAGCAACAAATGTTAGTGCAACGAATCGTATGGCATCGCATCGTTTCGTTTTCTAAATCACACCAAATCGCAATGATTCTAAAACGTGAAACATATCATTCCTGTATTATATCAAAGCCCACGTATCGAATCGTCTTGAAAGGGAAAGATGCACATCCCTACCTCTTACATTTAATGTCAAATTTGGGTATAGAGCTCCATGGAAATGGTATGGTCCATAGGGAGGGGCCATGGGTATAAAGATAACTACAGCACACAGGTGTAATGGGTATGTGCTAGCTCTGCTATGTGAGATGTGTGAGCTTTGTCATTATGGGGTATTGTGTGTAGATTGCTGAGGATTATTTATTTTTTAAATCCATTTTAGAATACGGCTGTAACGTAACAAAATGTGGTAAAAGTCAAGAGGTCTGGATACTTTCCAAAGGTACTGTATATATACACACACACAGTAAGTATTCAGACCCCATTACCTTTTCCACATTTTGTATGCCATATTATTTCTTCAACTGGAACCACCTTTTCAGTGTGAATAAACTGGACACTATTTTGCACTGGATCATGCTGCCTCCTGCCCTTAAGGATGCTCCAACTTCTGGTCCCTACAACAGTTTGTAACAGATTCTAGTTTTGGGAACAGAAAACTGAATTGATATCTGATGTTTCTCTGAGAAAATGTGCAGATTCTGGGCCCAGTTTCATCTTGCTGCGTCTCCTCCCTCTACCTTAGAACTGCACTTAACCTCATCACCAAATTTGGTAGTGCTTCAGATTTTGACCCCATGTGACATCTGGGATTCCCTTTCATTTATGGTATTATTTAACGTCTGGCAATTATGTACATTCAGGATTTTTACAAAAGTACTTCACCAGTCCTGTCTAGGATTCCATAAATTGGGAGAACACGTTTTGAGATGAGGTACTACCTGAACTTGCCCAATATGAAACACTTAATTCTGCAACGTTTTCACGCTACCTTGTTCTAGAGCATTCCAGTTGAGGTTCTCACCTTAGCCCCGACGGTGCCCCTGTTGCAGTAGAGCTTGGCGTTGGTTTTGATGTTGTTGGGGTCTATCGCCAGGGCCTCCGAGTAGAGCCGGTAGGCTGCCTCAAAGTTGCGGTCCTTGAACACTTTGTTGCCCTCCTCCTTCTTGGCTTTCAAAGCTTTGGCATTCTGATTTTAGATAGATATCAACCACATTGAATCAGTATGTCAGGTGCAGTATAACTCAATTCGCGGGCTACAGTACTGATCAAGCAGTGTTGTCACGATACCAACATTTTACTCACAATACAATACCAGGCCAAATAGTAAATAGTATAATGATACCAAGCGGGGGGGGGGTCATCAGAGTGGCATAGCGTCCTAATTTTTTATGAAGATATATATAGCTTATGCTTACATTAGGCCTATATGAATCATATCTTTGAAGCACATCTCTTTCAGTAGCTATCCTTTTAGCTTTCTTCCTGTACCATCCAAATATGTGCCTATAGCCTAGGTCTGCTGGGCAAGTTACCAGGTTGTTAGCTAGCTAATGTATGTAACAGGACTGAACAAGGCTGTTATCAAAACAATAATTAGCAGCCCGGGATTACTTTAAAACGTCCCACAACATGCGCCCCAATGCGCGATAGAAAGAAAAAAAAAGGGTAAAATAAGTACAGGCGCAAGTTGAGTGACTCACTCTGCAAGCTAGCCGAGCCTTCCCGTGGTCTGGGGCCATGCGCAGCGCTTGGACGAAGAACTGCACAGCTTTGTCGATGCAGTCCTCGTAGTACAGACACAGGCCGCGCACATATAGAGCGTCTCCGTTGGTCGAGTCCATTCGCAATATATCGCTGGGAGAGAAAATACAAGATTCATAAGACAAAGAACCTGACTTTGATATTCCCCAAATTGGCGCAAACATGAAAACGAGGTCAAAAGAAGCCTCGTCATGAAGGCAATTTTTCTGGGGATTTTGTAATATTTTTTTTTACTCATGTTAGTCACCCATAAAAAAAAAAAAAAAGTGTCTAAAGTGAAATTCCACAGTTAAAAAAGTTGATAACCCATAAAAAATTACAAACATCCCATTACAGCTTAAGAAAACAAATGCACTACATGACCAAAAGTGTACGTATATATATGCATGCACTGTATTTGGAAAGTATTCTGACCCCTTGACTTTACCCACATTTTGTTTCGTTAAAGCCTTATTCTAAAATTGACTACATTGATGAGGGGGAAAAAAACAACAATCTACACTCAATACCAAATGATGAAAAAGCAAAAACTGGTATTTAGATTTCTCTTTGCAAATATATTAAAAATAAAAAAATGAAATATCACATTTACATAAGTATTCAAACCCTTTACTCTGTACTTTGTTGAAGCACCTTTGGCAGCGCTACAAGCTTGGCACACCTGTTTTGGGGAATTTCTCCCATTCTTCTCTGCAGATCCTCTCAAGCTCTGTCAGGTTGGATGGGGAGCGTTGCTGCACAGCTATTTTCAGATCTCTCAAGAGATGATTGATCGGGTTCAAGTCCAGGCTCTGGCTGGGCCACTCAAGGACATTCAGAGACTTGTCCCAAAGCCACTCCTGTGTTGTCTTGGCTGTGTTCTTGGGGACCTTCAATGCTGCAGAAATGTTTTGGTACCCTTCCCCAGATCTGTGACTCGACACAACCCTGTCCCGGAGCTCTACGGACAATTCTTTCGACCTCATGGCTTGGTTCTTTTCTCTGACATGCACTGTCAAGTGTGGGACCTTATATAGACAGGTGTGTTCCTTTCCAAATCAGGTCCAATCAATTGAATTGACCACAGGTGGACTCCAATCAAGTTGTAGAAATATCTCAAGGATGATCAATGGAAACAGGATGCGACTGAGCTCAATTTCAAATCTCAGAGCAAAGGGTCTGAATACTTACGTAAATAAGTTATTACAGTTTTTAATTTGTTCTAAATGTGCAAACACTTTTTTTTTTGCGGTTTTCTGTCATTATGGGGTACTGTGTGTAGATTGATGAGGAAAAACATTAATTTAAATCACTTGTAGAATAAGGCTGTAACGTAACAAAATGTGGAAAAAGTCAAGGGGTCTGAATACTTTCCGAATTCACTGCAGTGTATAGCACCACATTTGTAAAACCTGTCTTTAAAATATGAAACAAATGTCCTGGTGAAGAGCTTGGTTGGATAATCCTCCTAACTTCCACTCCTTCCTGCCCCACATTAGTGCCTGATTGGTTTGTACCTGGCCACAGACTGGGCTTCCGGGTAGCGGCCCAGTAGGGCCAAACACTCAGCCTTGAGGATTTTGAAGCGATGGCAGGTGGACGCCAATCCCAGGGCCTTGTCCATACAGTACACCACCTGCAGCAGAGAAGACAACAGCTACCATCTCACAACTGGGTTGACTGCCTGTGTGTGTGTGTGTGTGTGTGTGTGTGTGTGTGTGTGTGTGTGTGTGTGGTAACATGCCTTTCTGAAATCCCTCTTTTCGAAGTCAAATTCTGCCATTCGTTCGTACTCCAGTACTGCTGTGGCATTTTTGTGCTGCAAAGCACAAAGAAGAAACCAAGCAAATCAAAATCACACTGATATAAATTGATACACAGAGTATGATATAGCAGGTGGAATAATTGAGAAACACATGCATGACGTCTCGCACAGCTCCCATTGACATGATTTACATGCAAGTCAGAGCTGTGCAACGCGTAACCAAAAACATATCTGAAAGATGGTGAATACAACAAACAATCAAAATTTGAAGCACTTGCAGCAATTAAAAAACGTTAAAAAGCCCAATGCAGCAGTTCCTATCTCAATATCAAATAATTTTTGGTTAACAATTAAGTACAGGAGTCACGTTAGAGATCAGAATTTTTAAAACGCAGACCATCAAAACACCTGCGTTTTAAATTGAAAGTCAACAGTGGTTTTTTGCTTCAAGAGTGATCAGGGGCGTGCAACTACAGTTTTCCTTCACAGAAAATACATTAGTGCAACACATTCGGCAGAAAATAGCTTCATTTTGATTAGATGACAGAGGCTAGTTGGCTAGCAGCCACACAAGTAAATGAGCGTACAATGAAAAAGCAAGGTCTTTCTTTGCAAAAAAACAATGCATGGCCATCATATTTCTAATGTTTATCATAGCAAGAATGTAGCCAGCTACACTTTCTAATGTTTGCTTGAAGTTAATCTTGCATTTACCGGAGAAAAGTAGGCTACACCGAGAAAAGTATTTATCTGAGTGGAGAAGTGCAAATGAAGCACAAAATGTGTCTGATGCCGAGCATAAATTTAAATAAGAAGTATTTAGATCTGCTTTTACAAAAAACAGCTAGATTTCTTATTTTTTAGTGTGAAAAACACAGAATTCTGCATTAACGCGACCCTAAAAGTACCTGATTTTAATTGAAAACAATGGTCAAAAATATACAAAAATAGCTTCTTAGCAAAGAGCAATCTTTCAAGCAAGACCTTTGCTAGGACTGTCTGGGAGTGGTCTGAGTGGGGAGGGGAACACTGAAAACTAGCTGTTATTGGCAGAAAGGTTTGGAACTCACGTTCTTATTGGTCTATTAACTAGAGCTCGCAAAATTACCGTATAACCAACGGTTATGGATGAAGACAGTCATGAAAATAAAAATAACAGCTGAAGGTACCGCGTTCATCTGTACAAACAATAGTACGCAAGTATAAACAATATTGGGACCACGCAGCCGTCATACCGCTCAGAGATTAACATACTTTGGTGCAAAAAGTGCAAATCAATCCCAGAACAACAGCAAAGGACCTTGTGAAGATGCTGGAGGAAACAGGTACAAAAGTATCTATATCCACAGTAAAATTAGTCCTATATCGACATAAACTGAAAGGCCGCTCAACAAGGAAGAAGCCACTGCTCCAAAACTGCCATAAAAAAGCCAGACTACGGTTTGCAACTGCACATGGGGACAAAGATCGTACTTTTTGGAGAAATGTCCTCTGATCTGATGAAACAAAAATAGAACTGTTTGGCCATAATGACCATCATTATATTTGGAGGAAAATGGGGGTTGCTTGCAAGCCGAAGAACACCATCCCAACCGTGAAGCACGGGGGTGGCAGCATCATGCTGTGGGGGTGCTTTGCTGCAGTAGGGACTGGTGCACTTCACAAAATAGATGGCATCATGAGGAAGGAAAATTATGTGGATATTTTGAAGCAACATCTCAAGACATCAGTCAGGAAGTTTAAATGTATTTGGCTAAGGTGTATGTAAACTTCCGACTTCAACTGTATACACACACACACAGTTGAAGTCAGAAGTTTACATACACCTTAGCCAAATACATTTAAACTCAGTTCTTCCACAAAACATGCGCACGCACGCGCCCGGTCTAGTCAACATGCAAGGCACCACTTCTGTGAGGGACTGACTAGCTTTTGTCCATCTGCTACACAGTTCCTCTACTAGTTTGTAGAGGAACATGCACTTATGCCCTGAACCAGAGTTAGAAACTGCTGAAGTATCAAATGCTGACTTGGAGTTGAAACCGGATGCATCGTAAAAAGGGGCCAAAGCAATGCTAGAAAACCACATGGAGAAAAAAAGATATTAAGAGAAGGTCAAAACTTTACATACATTTGAAGTTGGAACTTTACATACACCTTAGCCAAATACATTTAAACTCAGTTTTTCACAATTCTTGACATTTAATCCTAGTAAAAATTCCCTGTCTTAGGTCAGTTAGGATCACCACATTATTTTAAGAATGTGAAATGTCAGAATAATAGTAGAGAGAGTGATTTATTTCAGCTTTTATTTCTTTCATCACATTCCCAGTGGGTCAGAAGTTTACATACACTCAATTAGTATTTGGTAGCATTGCCTTTAAATTGTTTAACTTGGGTTGAACGTTTCAGGTAGCCTTCCACAAGCTTCCCACAATAAATTGGGTGAATTTTGGCCCATTCCTCCTGACAGAGCTGGTGTAACTGAGTCAAGTTTGTAGGCCTCCTTGCTCGCACACGCTTTTTCAGTTATGCCCACAAATGTTCTATAGGATTGAGGTCAGGGCTTTGTGATAGCAACTCCAACACCTTGACTTTGTTGTCCTTAAGTAATTTTGCCACAACTTTGGAAGTACGCTTGGGGTCATTGTCCATTTGGAAGAACCATTTGCAACCAAGCTTTAACTTCCTGACTGATGTCTTCCTCAGCGATATGACGGCTGCGTGGTCCCATGGTGTTTATACTTGCGTACTATTGTTTGTACAGATGAACGTGGTACCTTCAGGCGTTTGGAAATTGCTCCCAAGGATGAACCAGACTTGTGGAGGTCTACACATTTTATTCTGAGGCTAATTTGTTTTAATTTTCCCTTGATGTCAAGCAAATAGGCACTGAGTCTGAAGGTAGGCCTTGACATACATCCACAGGTACACCTCCAATTGACTCAAATGATGTCAATTAGCCTATCAGAAGCTTCTAAAGCCATGACATCATTTCCTGGAATTTTCCAAGCTTTTGAAAGGCACAGTCAACTTAGTGTATGTGAACTTCTGACCCACTGGAATTGTGATACAGTGAATTATAAGGGAAATAATATGTCTGTAAACAATTGTTGGAAATATTACTTGTGTCATGCACAAAGTAGATGTCCTAACCGACTTGCCAAAACTATAGTTTGTTAACAAGACATTTGTAGAGTGGTTGAAAAACGAGTTTTAATGACTCCAACCTAAGTGTATGTAAACTTCCGACATCAACTGTACATATACAGTGGGGAGAACAAGTATTTGATACACTGCCGATTTTGCAGGTTTTCCTACATACAAAGCATGTAGAGGTCTGTCATTTTTATCATAGGTACACTTCAACTGTGAGATACGGAATCTAAAACAAAAATCCAGAAAATCACATTGTATGATTTCTAAGTAATTAATTTGCATTTTATTGCATGACATAAGTATTTGATCACCTACCAACCAGTAAGTATTCCGGCTCTCACAGACCTGTTAGTTTTTCTTTAAGAAGCCCTCCTGTTCTCCACTCATTAACTGTATTAACTGCACCTGTTTGAACTCGTTACCTGTATAAAAGACACCTGTCCACACACTCAATCAAACAGACTCCAACCTCTCCACAATGGCCAAGACCAGAGAGCTGTGTAAGGACATCAGGGATAAAATTGTAGACATGCACAAGGCTGGGATGGGCTACAGGACAAAAGGCAAGCAGCTTGGTGAGAAGGCAACAACTGTTGGCGCAATTATTAGAAAATGGAAGAAGTGCAAGATGACTGTCAATCACTCTCGATCTGGGGCTCCATGCAAGATCTCACCTCGTGGGGCATCAATGATCATGAGGAAGGTGAGGGATCAGCCCAGAACTACACGGCAGGACCTGGTCAATGACCTGAAGAGAGCTGGGACCACAGTCTCAAAGAAAACCATTAGTAACACACTACGCCGTCATGGATTAAAATACTGCAGCGCACGCAAGGTCCCCCTGCTCAAGCCAGCGCATGTCCAGGCCCGTCTGAAGTTTGCCAATGACCATCTGGATGATCCAGAGGAGGAATAGGAGAAGGTCATGTGGTCTGATGAGACAAAAATAGAGCCTTTTGGTCTAAACTCCACTCGCCGTGTTTGGAGGAAGAAGAAGGATGAGTACAACCCCAAGAACACCATCCCAACCGTGAAGCATGGAGGTGGAAACATCATTCTTTGGGGATGTTTTTTTCTGCAAAGGGGACAGGACGACTGCACCGTATTGAGGGGAGGATGGATGGGGCCATGTATCCTCCTTCCTCCAGTAAGAGCATTGAAGATGGGTCGTGACTGGGTCTTCCAGCATGACAACGACCCGAAACACACAGCCAGGGCAACTAAGGAGTGGCTCCGTAAGAAGCATCTCAAGGTCCTGGAGTGGCCTAGCCAGTCTCCAGACCTGAACCCAATAGAAAATCTTTGGAGGGAGCTGAAAGTCCGTATTGCCCAGCGACAGCCCCGAAACCTGAAGGATCTGGAGAAGGTCTGTATGGAGGAGTGGGCCAAAATCCCTGCTGCAGTGTGTGCAAACCTGGTCAAGACCTACAGGAAACGTATGATCTCTGTAATTGCAAACCAAGGTTTCTGTACCAAATATTAAGTTCTGCTTTTCTGATGTATCAAATACTTATGTTATGCAATAAAATGCAAATTAATTACTTAAAAATCATACAATGTGATTATCTGGATTTTTGTTTTAGATTCCGTCTCACAGTTGAAGTGTACCTATGATACAAATTACAGACCTCTACATGCTTTGTAAGTAGGAAAACCTGCAAAATCGGCAGTGTATCAAATACTTGTCCTCCCCACTGTGTGTGTGTGTGTGTGTGTGTGTGTGTGTGTGTATGTATATATATATATATACATACACATACACTTTGCCTTGATGACAGCTTTGCACACTTTTGGCATTCTCTCAACCAGCTTCATGAGGTCGTCACCTGGAATGCATTTCAATTAACAGGTGTGCCTTCTTTAAAAAGTTCATTTCTGGAATTTCTTTCCTTCTT